TCAGTCTGCACTGAGGGAACACTGCAGGTAATAATGTCCTGAGAGCGCACGCTGTAGCTGCACTCACGTAGTGACACGTAGGAGGAGACGTATGAAGGCAGCAGACCAAGAAGTGATTTAAACATGAAAATGTACCACTGAGAGAGTCTGCGTGAAGTTAATGACCAAATGAAAACAGAGGGCAATGGTGGGTACGATAGTTACAGCCAGCTATGAATCTTAGTGCACGATGATAGACAGCATCCAACATCTGCAGGGTTCTTGTAGGTGCGTTCATATTGATAATGTCACCGTAGTCAATGGAGGGAAGGAAAGTTGCAGTTACAAGCCGTTTCCTAACGTTCAGAGTTAGACAGGATCTATTTCTGAAAAAGGAACCCAGTTTTACTTTCACTTTCTTTATCAAGTTTTCAACGTGAAGCTTAAAAGAGAGGTGCAAATCGACGAAGATACCCAAATATTTGTAGGAATCGACAAACTCAATACGAACACCATTCAAAGATAAAATCGAGGGAAGGACATCTGGGACTGACTTCCTGTTTGACAACAACATCCCTTTGGTTTTGTCGGCGTTTAGTACAAGCTTGAGACGGAAAAAATCTGACTGGATGATGTTAAAAGCAGACTGCAAAAGCTGGAAAACCTTAGCATTTGTTTTAGCTCGACAGTAAACCACTGTGTCGTCAGCATGGAAACGTAAGGGTGCATCAGGAATGAACTGACTTACATTACTTATGTAGATTGTGAAGAGGGTGGGACCTAAGATTGAACCTTGTGGTGCACCATTGTTAACAGTTAGATAACTGGAAGAAGTACTATTAAGTTGAACACATTGCCTCCGATCTAAGACATAGTTAGTGAAACAACCAATGGTGTGATCTGGGAAACCAGTTTCGGAGAGCTTATGACATAAGATGTCATGATCCATAGTGTCAAAAGCTTTAGACAGGTCTAAGTAAAGTGCAGTACAATAATCCTTAGCATCTAAATCAGAATCAGAATCAACTTTATTGTCATTGCACAGTTAAGCACAGCGAAAATACATTTCAGTGCAGCCGTCCAACAAGGGTAGACGGAAGTGCATGGAGGCTGCACCTTCGTTGTGAAGTCCTTATCGCTTAGACAAGAAAAGGAAAGAAAAACACGAGGAAAGAAGGTATAAAAAAGATCTCTCACACTGTGTCCTTGACACACAGGGCACAGTGTAAGGTGGCAACAAAAACTACCTAAGTACAAAGCTACATAGATAGGCATAAGACATTTTCCAGGGGGAGGAGGAGGCCGACAAAGGTAATAATGGTCAAATGATGAAGCCCTCTGGATAGAGGGTGAAAGGAGGTTGCAAGGAGGTGGGCGATATGCATTCCTTCAGATAATGTTAGACCTTTAATTCTGTCAATCCAATCTCCACCGGTTAATCAGAATAAAATGAATGTTCATTTGTCCCAAATCCAAAATGAACGTTGAGCTGTTGACTTCATGTTGGTGTTCGTCCCACATAACAGGCCTTCAGGACAGAGTTATTTCCAGTCCAGATTTATCTGGTTCTGTGTTTCTGGCTGATGGAGCTCACTGTGTTTGGCTGCAGCTCTGAATGAGATCACTGAACAGATGTGGAGCTTCCAGTCAAAATGAAATGCATTCAGAATGTTCACCAACCATCCATCCATCCATTTTCTTTACCCGCTTATTCCATTTTGGGTCACGGGGGTCGCCGGTACCCATTACTGTGCCAGGGGCGGGGTACACCCTGGACGGGTCTCTAGTTCATCACAGGGCCACATAGAGACAAACGAGACAAACATTCACTCTCTCACTCACACCTAGGGACAATTTAGAGTTACCAATCAGCCTAACATGCATGTTTTTGGTCTGTGGGAGGAAACCGGAGCACCCGGAGAAAACCTACGCATGCACGGAGAGAACATGCAAACTCCACCCAGGTAGGTCCCTGGACCGGGGTTTGAACCAGGGACCTGCTCGTTGAGAGGCAGCAGCTCTACCAGTTGCTCCACCGTGCTGCCCTCTACTTTTTATATGAAGGTAAAAAGATGGAGAATTTTTTGCCTTGTAAAATCTCAGCTTAAAAAACCACAGAAATTGAAAATGTGGTGTGATCTGTTTTTAAAGTTCTTTTTTCTTTTCTTTTTAATTATTAAAAAAAAAAAAATTTTTTAAGCGCCTGTCAAAAGCAGTATGTATTTTGGTGTATTCTCCGTCCGTTCGTCCGTCTGTAAACGTTCTATTGTCCAACCCACAACCTCTGATCTGCTCAAGATAATTTAGCAAAACTTCATAGACTTATGCGTCATCACTAGACAGAGTGTCACATACACTGTTCAACATATCACCTCCAAGTTCAAGGGCACAAATCAAGGTCAAATGATAAAATCAGGTATTTGCTTGTCTTGCTCAGAACTTCTGATTCTTTCAAGATCATTTAATGGAACTTCATATGCACCATCACTACACAGTGTCGTGTACGCCTTTCACCACCCCAGCTTCAAAGTCAAGGTCACAAATCAAGGTCAAATGTTATACAAGGACTTTGCTTGTCCATGCCATTGTATAGTTTCTATATTGCTTCATAATAGTTTGTCATTGCTTTTATTTTGAAGCAATTTCCCCTTCTGTTTTTTATTCTTTCACTGGGATGTACCGTGCTCATAAAAAAAAATAAAAATAAATAAAAATGTACCGTGTTCATGATAGTTTTCTTTCCACTTTTCCCTCAGATACAAAAACTGTGGTGGCCATTTTTAGATAAAGTAGTGTTTTATGCAGCTTGGTGCTGTGACCAGTGGTTAATTTGAGCCGGAACAAGATCCGGGAACTCTCTTATTTTAACAGGCTGTGTTCCGGCAACTGTTTGCTTGGATCCGGCAACTCAAATCTCTGCCCCTAAAAGTCCAAAGTCATCATCGCACAGTTTTATTTTGATTATTTATTAAAAATACAACGAAAGAAGACCTTGCCCTTAGCCCGGCGGACCCAGTCTCTGGAGTGGACGTTCTAGCCGCAGCACTGCACGGCGCACCAGCTCGCTCACACGCCTTCCAAGGAGCAGGAGAGGAGTCACTGGAGGAGGCGGGGCCGGGGGGGCCGGGGGGGGTGAGGAGAGACAGATGGTCACATTAACGCTTGGAGGTGCTGCGTGGAGTCCTTCTCTCCTCCTCCTCTCCAAATATTGTCCGTACTCGGTGGCACTGCGCACTGAAAAACACCCCTTCTCCCCTCATCTCAGACCCCCGAAACAGAAACAATCATTTATTCAACAGAAAAAATAAATGCCTTGTGGACAGTGCACGTTATGCGCAGCGTCTCTAGACAGCTTTACAGAGCACACGCACAACTGCTGATGTGTCTGACCTCTTGCTACATTTCAGACATAATAAATAAAAGAAGCTTACTGTAAACAAATAAATAAAAAATACAAAGATGGAAATGTTTGATGTGTTATTCACATTATACGTCACGTTTCAAAACAACGGCACTAATTTGTCAAAATAGCAACATCGATCAAAATGTTGAAAAGACAGTCCTTCTTCTTCTTTCGGCTGCTCCCTGCATTAGGGGTCGCCACAGCGAACTAAGTCGCACGAAGACTTGGCAGTTATTTTTACGCCGGATGCCCTTCCTGACACAACAACAGACCACTGAGCTACCACAGCCCTCTGTGTGGAGCAGAGGGCTGCTGTCTAGGACACCCGGAGGAGCAGATGGTGGGGGTTAAGGGCCTTGCTTAAGGGCCCCAAGTGGGACGAATGAGGGTGGGGGCAGGTGTGGGTGCTTCACCTACCCACTCACATTTTTGATGTTGTCGGTACCAGGGCTTGAACCGGCAATCTTCCGATCACAGGCCCACCCTCTCTAACCTCTGCGCCACCACTCCCTGTTGAAAAGACAGTCCAATTTACTTTAATAAAAAAATGGATGTATGGATTGTCCTTAGCTGGATAACTGAGAATTGAAGCCTTCACGTGCTTCATGGTGCCACGAGACTGGAGCAGGAGGACTGAATTCAGCGGAGAAGGGTTCAGCTCAGAACCGTGACGTGAGAGGAGGGAGGAGGGTTAGGACACCTGACAGAATAGGAGGTGCTCTACTCACACACAACCTGCTGTTCCTCTCCAAAATAGTAATTTTATCAAGTGATTACAAATGTAGATAAATGTAGATATTTGACAACTCATTAAAAACACCAAAATACAGGAAATGACATAGCTGTTATTCAAAATTTTCTTCCACAGACCCCCGGCCTGCCCGCTGTTCCGGCATCAATCAGTTTACAAATTAAGCCCTGGCTGTGACTGAGGTGAAACGTCTTTTTAAATGTCTTCTTTTTTCCTGAAAGGAAATGTTTTTTTTTTTCACCTAGAGGACTATGTACAAATTAAAAGCGCAGCATTTCTTGAAGGAATGCTCATCACCCAAAGAGAAAGGAGAAATATAATGTCCTGCATGTCTGAGAGTGGTTCATCATCTGTGCTTGTAAATAATCTGAAGCGCTCTGTTCTTCTTCACTTTTTTGTACTCCCTGTCTTTGATCCTGTATGTGACGACTTTTCTTCTGTGCTTCTCTTTGTTATGTCACTGCTTGTTCAGTGAGTCAGCTGCAAACGCTCTTAGACAGATCCCCGCATCTTTGTCTCCATCGAAGGGAACTCTTTAACTTTTGATTTTTGATTTGTTCGATCAGCAGCTGCCAGTCGATCCCTGCTCACAGACTCCCGATGCTGCACGCGTCCAGTGCACCAAGCTGCAGAGTCCACAGCAGGCAGACGAGGAAAAAGGACAAAAGGACGAAACAAAAAAAGCTGGGAATGCAAAGTGACGAAGCGGTGATGAAGAGGGAGGGACGGAGGCAGGGAGGGGTGGAGAGAGAAGGAGGGAGGGGACATGGATGATGTCAAACTGAAACGCAGTACGGCTTCAGCTCTCTGTATCAACTTTGTTCACAAGTGCACATCCTGATACACACGTGGAAGCCATCTCTCACATCCTAGGACCTCACATTTGGTTCGCTGATGCTTATAAAGAAAGGAATCATGTCACGTCTGGGCTGATAAAACTCAAAGGTATGTGTTTTACGGAATTTAAAGCTTGAAAAACATTATTGCACATATTTTAGGGGTAAATGCTGCCTGTTGTTCTGTCCATACGTGCAGCACAGTAAATCCTCTTATTATCAAGTGTACACTTGTTCTTAACAATTTGGCTGTTTTTTCAAAAGGTTCTGATCCTTCCCTTTTTAGAATAAACATCCCAGATAACATTACTGTATGGTCACGTGTATGTCTGTGATGATGAAGACCCGATCCAGCAGAACTAATTCTGCTTTGCTCAGTTCAGCTCTGGTTATGTAAGAGTGGCTGTGCGGCTGCTGCAACCTTGTGCTCTGTCAGCACAGCAGCTCTGAAGTGTTTCTGTGTGTTGTGACGGCCTGCAGGATGGAGCATTTGTTTGTTTGTGAATCTGTAGCATTTGATGCCGTGCTGATCTGCTGTGTGCAGCTGGTGAGAGCATCTAGCATATGTTTGTGCAAGCAGGGATTGAGATCATGTCATGTCTGGATACCTTTATTGACTGGCACCAAAGGCAAAAGGGTGATAATTAAAGTTTTTTTTTTTTAAGATTTGGTAACACTTTACAATAAGGTACACAAAATTTGCTTAACTACTAGGGAATGCCTAAGGAACAAATCAGGTGTTAATAAGTAGTACTTTCTGGGGAACACACAGCCTAGTCTTATTAGGGGACTACTGGTTAGTTACCCCGTAAATGAAGAGGAACTATTCAGAATCAGAATAAGCTTTATTATCATTGCACGGAAATACAACGAGAACATGTACGTAGAGTTGTCCGAAAGATGGGCGGAGTGCACGAAGCTGCTACTATGGAAGCGCGGCCCTCTTATTCTTATTCAGAATAATATTTTGCTTAGATGCGAAAAGGGAAGAAAAACATGAGGAGAGACGGTATAAAAAAAAGATCTCTCACTCCGTGTCCTAGACAGGGCACGATTTGAGGCATCAAAATCATCTAATGAAGAACTAATGGGTAGTTACCAAGGAAACCAACGAGGAACGAATCAGGAGCTAATGGGTAGTTAACCAGTACTTACTGGGGAACACACAGCCAGGCCTTATTAGGGGACTACTGGTTAGTTACCTTGTAAATGAAAAGGAACTAATCAAGAACTAATGGGTAGTTACTAAGGAAACCAAAGAGGAACGACTCAGAAGCTAATGAGTAGTTAACCAGTACTTACTGGGGAACACACAGCCAGGCCTTATTAGGGGACTACTGGTTTGTTACCACAGAAACAGAGGAGAAATTCTCCATGTGGGTTCTGAATAAACCCTGCACCAGTGAGGTCACAGCTCATAATAGTCAAAAACCTGTTTCTTAGTGATTACAGATTTTATTACCCATTAGCTTCTGATTCATTCCTCTTTAGTTTCCTTGGTAACTACCCATTAGTTCTGGATTAGTTCCTCTTTATTTACAAGGTAACTAACAAGTAGTCCCTTAATAAGGCTTGGCTGTGTGTTCCCCACTAAGTACTGGTTAACTACTCATTAGCTCCTGATTCGTTTCTCTTTGGTTTCCATGTTAACCACCCATTAGTTCCTGATTAGTTCCTCTTTGTTTCACAAGTAACTAACCAGTAGTTCCCTAATAAGGCTGGGCTCTGTGTTCCCCAGTAAGTACTGGTTAACTAACTATTAACTCCTGATTTGTTCATGGTTTGTTCCTGAGGCGTTCTCTAGTAGTTAATTAAATTTTGTGTACCTTATTGCAAAGTCTTACCAAAGGTTTTAATAAAAGACTTGGAAAGTAATTATTGAATTTAAAACTACAACTGCTTTATTTTTGAAGTCCACCTGAGTTAAGATGGCCACCACAGCTAAGCAATCTGAGAAGACACTTAAGTAGTAATAAGTCCAAACATCTGCTAAGTTCATGGAAAAAAAAAACTATGCAGACATGTTCTTGTTTTTAGTTTTCTACATTGCCTTACAACCTAGCTTTTTTTTTTGGGTAACATTTTTTTAATACCGTTTTATTTTCACTTGTTGTTCTCAATTTGTACGCATCCTTTATGATTGTCTGTTGTTGTCTTTGTTATCCACTGTTGTCTTTCTCTCTTTGATAAAATCAGGTCTCTCTTGGAAATGAGTCCCCGAGGCTCAATGGAATTAACCTGTAAAAATAAAGGTTGAATGAATGAATGAAACTTGGTCAATTACTGAGATAAAACTTGGTGGGGTAGTAGCTGAGAATTATCCCCAAACTATACTTCAAACACTAACGGATGATGCAATAATGGCTTTTGAAACTTTGGTGTTAACTATTAGAGTCAACATATTGGAGTCAACTTTGCCTGGATGGATATAAGAAAAACAATGGATATTTAACAAACACATAAATGGCTATAACTATCAGTTTTGCAGATGATTAGCTCTGCTGATTTGGTGTGGTAGTAGCTAAGAGTCATCCTCAACTCGTAGTTTGAGTCCTTGCATTAATTTCTGCACATTAATTTCCAGGTTTGTCCAAAACAGGTAACACCATCCTTTCTCAGCAGTAGACGATCTTTGTTTAAAACCTTGATATGAAAGGCAGTGGAGGATATGAATTTCCTGAAGGAGCGCTAGGCCTTTATTTTATTGTTACATTTATATCATTCAACTCCTCCCTTATTAACAGCTCTCGTTGAGGAGATTTTCATATTTTTTAAGCTATTGTTTTTATTTTTCTGGACTGCTGAAATTAAATTGTTTTTGAATTCAACACCAAATACATATTAATCATATACTCTCTATAAAAGTTTAATGTCAGGCTGAGAAAATAAGACTTTGGTTATGACAGTAATCTTATCCTCTTATTCTTCATTATCTGCTTTCAAAGAGGAGAATGAGAGGAGGAGGTGTGTGTTAGAGGGTGAGATTTAAACCAAAGTCAGTAGAAAAAGAATAAAAAGATCATGTAATCTAGAAAAAAAAAACGTCCCTCAGGGTTTCCTTCCAGCAGCAGAGGTGGCCTGTTTCTGTGCCTGTCTTCAGTTTGAAGACAATAAAAGCACTGACACACTTTCTCTGTCCAAGTTAAGATAATGTTACAGACGTATTACGCACAGAATCATGCAATAGGGGAGATATTAGAAATAGCTGAAGGGGAAGATAAAATAATAATGCATATTGAGTGTAAAAGATGTTTCTACTTTTGTTTTATTTTGAAGGGTTTATCTTTGCCTCTGTTTGCTGGATGCAGAGTGCTTTCCTTTTGCTTCATCCTTAATTATTCATCATTTCAAAAGCCTTTTATGTCAAGCATGAAAAAGGGTGTGTGTTTATGGGGGTGGGGGTGGGAAGAGAGAATACTTTACCGGTACTTCCTACTCGTATAATATATATGATATATAACATATGCGTATATGTACAGTAGTACCGTAGTATATTCATATACTTCCTGTTTCATTCATGCATCGTGTTCCTATTGAGTTCGTAGATTCTTACAAAAATACTTGGAAATTTTAGTTGATGCACTTCTCTCTTTTAAACCACATATCGAAAGCTTGATAAAGAAACTGAAATTAAAATTAGGTTTCTGTTTCAGAAATAGATGAGGCTTTACTCTGAATGCCAGAAAACACCTTGTTTGCTACCTTCATACCGGCCATAGACTATGGTGACATTATTAACATGAATGCCCCTGCCAGCTCCTTGCAGATGTTGGATGTTGTCTATCATGGTGCGCTAAGATTCACAACTGGCTGTAACTACTGTACCCATCACTGCACCCTGTTGGCCAGTTGGTCATCATCAACGTCATGTAGGCTCTCACACTGGTTCACCTTCATCTAGAAATCACTCCTTCGTCTGCTGCCTTCTTACATCTCCTCCCACGCATCACGTCGTCAGTGCAGTTACAGCGGGCGTTCTCAGGACATCATTACCTGCAGCGTCCCCTCAGTGCAGACTGAACTTGACAAAAAGGCCTTTTCTTACTCTGTAACCTGGAACACCTTGCAACAAGATCTGAAGCTGTCCACCTCAATTTCTTTAAGGGATTTGAAACATTTGATAAGGTCAATAGAAACGTCCAAGCAAATATGTTCTAGCATGTTGATTTGCTGTTTTATAACACTACTTTTATTTTAACAGCAATTTTACTGTAGTTTATTGTTGTCTGCCTAAAACAGGTCTCTCTTGTAAACGAGTCCTCGTGACTCAATGAGACTAACCTGTTTGAATAAAGGTTGAATGAAAAAAATTTGGAGCGCTGCAAAATGTTCAAATTTTGTGTAAGTTAAAAAAAATTAATCTTCCCACAACTAATACTGGATTACAATGCAATTCTGATATGTTATCTTTTGGAGAAATTTCCTGAGCCACTCTGTTATTACTGTGCGCTGAGTTTTGCTCGCACATATTAATATACTGCAGTGTATATCATATAAAGTAAAGTTGTAAAATGTAGGGATTGATGACAGTCTAGATCAGGCCTATTCAACTAAATTGCTCGGGGGCCACAGTTACTGAAAGCCAAGAGCTCAGGGGCCGGACATCCAGCAGTTAATGTGATTAAATAAGTTTGTTTTATGGTTTAAAATCTAGTTTTAGTTAAAAATGAACCCACTGGTGGACTGAACTGAGCTCACCCATGGGCCTGATTTGGCCCTTGGGTCACCAGTTGACTAGCCCTGGTCTAGAGTGCACACAACAAGACTTAGACCATGTGTTTTTCAATGCTCTGACTCTTTGCTCTTATTTTGCTAATTATTTTCCTCACTCAATGGTGATTTTTATTTCCTGTGTGTCTTTTTCACAGGGTGCAGATTAACAAGAAAGGCTCTTATGTCAGAGTTTTAGAATGGCCAGTGAAGGCTCCACTATTCCCAGTCCTGTCGTCCGCCAAATTGATAAGCAGTTCCTGATCTGCAGCATATGTCTGGACCGCTACGAGAACCCAAAAGTTCTGCCCTGCCTGCACACCTTTTGTGAAAGGTGAGTGGAGTTACAGCGCGGTGAAACGTCGAACAGATGAAGCTCATGTACTGATGTTTTAATATGCTGCACATGATGTTTGACACGTGTGTGATACAGTCGTACTTTTTTAGACTTTAAAATCAACCCAGCATTGTTCTTCTAAATGTGAGCATTGTGACTCCATGATACAGGCTGTCTTTGTTACGTTGGTCCTCTCTGTTAACAAGCTTTTTGTTTCTTACACAAAGGGCTGTGAATAGTCCACGACTGTTCCTTTTACTCTGGTCGCTTCTGGAGAGTCATTATTTATTTACCAATATGTGATCTGTGCTGGCAAAATGAGTCATAATGGAAATACTTTTCAATACTGAGTTATTATTATTTTCAAATTCTGCACCCCAGGAGTTTCTAAATGATACATATTTTTTTGAAGTTTGGTGATTTATCACCTGACCTGTCAACTAGTTCTGTTTACAAGAGTGCTACGTTGAAAACTTGATTTTTATTAGTCAGGAGAAATGTCTTCAGGAATTCCAGCCTAATATTTAAAAATGGTTTCACAATGATGCCAAACATTATATTCTTGATTCATGTTCAATAATCCAGGTAGCTAAATCCAATAAAGTTAAGTCAGGTCCTCTGGGCGGTTCCTTTTTGTTGAAACGTTTTGTCTTTCGTCCAAAAGATGATTGATTATTGAGCAGGAACTTTGATGTTTTGAACCTCTTTGGCCATGACTGCCTCAAACGAGTCAGTGGGGGAGAGGGCGGACTCCAGAAACCATCTGAGCACCATCAAATTGGTTGACCCACTACGTAAGGTGCTATTTATAAGACTGAGTTTGTTGCAGCTCCTCGGACTGATGAAGTCTTTTGGACAAAAGACGAAACATTTCAACAAAATAGAAACCGTCCAGAGGACACGCCTTAACTTTGCTGGATAAAAAGATTAGAATTAAAAGATTTTTTCTGAAGACATCTGCTTAAAAACTTTGAATGATATATTATATGCTATTTTACGTACTGTGATGATAATGTGAATGTTTATGAATCATTCACACTATTGTGATCCATTTTTCTTACGTACATTTTTCGACATCTTTCTTGTTCCACAATTTTTGTGCTATTTCATCAAATCATATTTTTCTGCTTCTTCTAACGTCTTTCGGCTAATTTCAGCTTATTATGTTCCTTTCAGTTTATTTCTGCAAGTTTCAGCTTTTTCTGCTATTTCAGCTACTTTTTAGCTGTTTTAATGCTATTTTTTTCCCCTTCGCTTGATTCCACATTTTTTGCACTCATCTCAACTTTTTCAGCCTAATTCAGCAAAAATGTGCTCTCTCCACTTCCTTCTGGTAATTTAAGCTTCTTTTAGAAAATTTAGCTACTTTTCAGCTGTTTTTTTTGGCTAATTTCAGGGTTTTTTTTTTCCAGATAATATCCACTTTTTAGTGCTCACTTCTGTTTCTTTCAGTCTAATTGGGAAAATGTGTTCTTTCTGCTTTCTTCTGCTAATTTCAGCTTGTTTTACATTTTCAAATTTTTTTTTAGCAGTTGTCAGCTAATGTCAGCTGTTTTCAGATATGCAAGTTCAAGGTATTTTTGGTAATTTCTGCTACTTTCAGCTAATTAACTTCTTTCTGCTAATTTCAGCTCCTTTCACCTTTTATTTAGCTACATTCAGCTTTTTCTGCTATTTCAGCTAAATGTTTAGCTGTTTTGTGCTAAATTTTGCTTTTTTAATTAATTCTACTGTTTGGTTTTTTTTATGCTCATTTCAGCTCCTTACATTTCGTCCTGGTCGTTTAAGCTTCTATTTGCCTTTTCAGCTACTTTTCAGCATTTTTTGGTTGCTAATTTCAGTCTTTTTAGCTAATTTCCTCATATTTGTGATAATTTCTGTTTATTTAAATTCAATTTAGCAAATATGTGTTCTGTTTTCTTCTGCTAACAGGCTTGTCCTTCAATCTCAGCTACATTTCAGCATGTTTTTAGCTAATTTCAGCTGTTTTTCAGCACGTTCATCTGCAATAAGCACTGACACTACATTTTCGCAGTAAATACAATTTCTCTAGTTAGAAAGCATCTTTATGAACTCATGTTTACAATAATATTCAAAGGGTTCATTTTTGCACTGCAGCCTGAGCACATTTTACCAGCACACGTATAGATCACATGTAATTGTGTCTAATTTGAATGTGATGAATGTTTTTTTTTTACTACACTGAAATTATTTCTGATCAGAGCTTTTTTTGCCTTAAAGATGACAACAAACACAAGGTTGAAGCACAACCAGGTCATAAACTTGAACTTACAGCACTTGAAAACTGCCTAAATTGCACCATCACACTTAGTTTTCGTTTGCAAAGAGATTACGTAACTGTATAATTATTGAAAGGCTCATATTCATTTTAAACCCATTCAGTTAACTCTGATTCAGTCAGAAATATACTCAGTTTTGACAAAACGTGGATAATTATCAAAATCTTAGAAGTATGTTGAATCTTTTTTCAGGTAGATGTTTCTCTGTTTGAAGAGTGATGTATAATTTTCAGTGAGAACTGATTACAGGATTCTCATTAATTAATTGGATTGGGTTAAGTGGGACTGTGTTAAATTAAAATAATGAAAAAATTCAAACCTCAATATTGTTTCAAATGGTTTTATGACGCATGTATTTCCCACCTCTAGGTGCCTACAAAATTACATCCCGGCTCACAGCCTCACCCTGTCGTGCCCCGTGTGCCGCCAGACCTCTATCCTCCCGGAGAAAGGTGTGGCGGCGTTGCAGAACAACTTCTTTATCACCAACCTGATGGATGTGCTGCAGCGGGTGCCAGACAGCTGCAGCCAGGAGGCCGCCGCCGCCGCGCTCAACAACATTTCCACGGTGGCTACGGGACGGCTGCTCTCCTGCCCCAACCATGGAGGAAGTGTAAGATACTTTTAACCCATCTGGACGCAATATTCTTTTTTCGTTTTTTTAAATTAAATGGATAGTTCTGATATTCTGAGGTTTAAAGCTTCTACTTTCCATTCTTGTATTATTGACAACTACAGGTGCTGGTCATAAAATTAGAATATCGTGAAAATGTTGATTTATTTCAGTAATTCCATTCAAAAAGTGAAACTTGTATATTATATTCGTTCATTACACACAGACTGAAATATTTCAAATGTTTATTTCTTTTAATGTTGATGATTATAACTGACAACTAATGAAAACCCCAAATTCAGTATCTCAGAAATTTACAATATTACTTAAGACCAATAAAAAAAGTATTTTTAGAAATGTTGGCCAACTGAAAACTATGAACATGAAAAGTATGAGCATGTACAGCACTCAGTACTTAGTTGTTGCTCCTTTTGTCTGGATTACTGCAGCAATGCGTCGTGGCATGGAGTCGATCAGTCTGTGGCTCTGCTCAGGTGTTATGAGCCCAGGTTGCTCTGATAGTGGCCTTCAGCTCTTCTGAATTGTTGAGTCTGGTGTATCACATCTTCCTCTTCACATATACCATAGATTTTCTATGAGGTTAAGGTCAGGTGAGTTTGCTGGCCATTTAAGAACAGGGATACCATGGTCCTTAAACCAGGTACTGGTAGCTTTGGCACTGTGTGCAGGTGTCGAGTCCTGTTGGAAAATGAAATCTGCATCTCCATAAAGTTGGTCAGCAGCAGGAAGCAGGAAGTGCTCTAAAACTTCCTGGTAGACCGCTGCTTTGACCTTAGACCTCAGAAAACACAGTGGACCAACACCAATAGATGACATGGCACCCCAAACCATCACTGACTGTGGAAACTTGACACTGGACCTCAAGCAACATGGTTTCTGTGCCTCTCCTCTCTTCCTCCAGACTCTGGGACCTTGATTTCCAAAGGAAAAGCAAAATTTACTTTCATCAGAGAACATATCTTTGGACCACTCAGCAGCAGTCCCAGGTGAGACGCTTCTGATTCTGTCTCTTGTTCAAGAGTGGCTTGACACAAGCTGAACCCCTTGTCTTGCATACATCTGAGCGTGGTGGTTCTTGAAGCACTAACTCCAGCTGCAGTCCACTCTTTGTGAATTTCCCCCACATTTTGGAATGGGTTTTGTTTCACCATCATCTCCAGGGTGCAGTTATCCCTATTGCTTGTACACTTTTCTACCACATTGTTTCCTTCCCTTCACCTCTCTATTAATGCGCTTGGACACAGAGCTCTGTGAACAGCCAGCCTCTTTAGCAATGACCTTTTGTGTTTTGACCTCCTTGTGCAAGATGTCAACGAGCGTCTTTTGGAAACTGTCAAGTCAGAAGTCTTCCCCATGATTATGTAGCCTACAGAACTAGACTGAGAGACCATTTAAAGGCCTTTGCAAGTGTTTAGAGTTAATTAGCTGATTACATTGTGGCACCACGTGTCTTCAATATTGAACCTTTTCACAATATTCAAATTTTCTGTGATACTGAATTTGGTTTTTTTTATTAGTTGATGATTATAATCATCAACATTAAAAGAAATAAACATTTGAAATATATCGGTCTGTGTGTAATGAATGGATATAATGTACAAGTTTGTACAAGATGTAACTTGGATGTAACTGGAACCCTGTGTACACAATTTCATTCCACCACATGTACCACATGTGGTGTGTATGACATATTAAGAAACTTGAGTCCTTGAAGTTTCACTTTTTGAACGGAATTACTGAAATAAATCAACTTTTTCATGATATTCTAATTTTATGACCAGCACCTGTATGTGACTTTATCACAAAGCTGGGAATGAAGTCAGGAACTCAAAATGTTATTTGGACTGCCTTATTCTCATTTCCTGTGTTCTAGGTGATGGAGTTTTATTGCCCTCCGTGTGAGACAGCCATGTGTCAGGAGTGCACATGTGGAGAACATGGAGAACATCCCACTGTGCCTCTTAAAGACGTTGTGGAGCAGCACAAAGCCTCGTTACAGGAGCAGCTGAATGCTGTCAAGAAGAGGTACAACAGGAGCTGTAACTCAAGGGTTCCCAACCCTTGTCCTTGAGGAACACCATCCTTCATGTTTTAGCTGTTTCTCTGCTCCGACACACCTGATTTTAATAAATGGATGATTTACAGGCTGTTGCAGAACATGAGGAAGTAATTAAATCACTGAATCAGGTGTGTTGAACATTCAGGATGGTGTTCCTCAAGGACCAGTGTTGGGAACCACCGATATGATGAATCAAACGCCACCCTCTTTTATTTTCTTAATCTGATAACATGAGAACCGCTGTCGATTCCAGGTTGCCGCAGATCGACTCAGCCCTGCAGACGTTGTCAGAGATTCTGCAGCAGCTGACCAATCAGAAGAGCGCCATCGAGGACGACGTCCACAGCACCTTTGACGAGCTGCAGAAGACACTCAACGTTCGCAAGAGCGTTCTACTGATGGAGCTGGAGGTCAACTATGGCCTCAAGCAGAAGGTGAACACGAAACCATCCTCTGAATCAGGATCAGTTTGTTTAGTTCTTGTTGGGATGAAGGTGCGTGTCAACATCACGCTTTTATTTGAATCTTTAAGTGAGGAAAAATTAAATACAGCTCGCTTATCAGACCTCTAACGGATTACATCATCGGGTGGTTGTTGCTTCTCTGTTTGTGTCGACCTCCACTGGTTTGACAGGCAGTTAAAGAGGGAAAATCTTCACTCCGACCAGATATCCAAGCTGAGATCAGAGCTCGGGGAGAGGTGGCGGAGGTCATATCACATGGGAGGCTAATGATTTACCATCCACTGCCTGGTGCACTTTGAGCCCAGGGGAAAGTCAGTTCTGTGGCGTTCTGCAGCTACAGCAGATGGGGCCAGTGAGCCATCCTGCGTGGGAACTTCTGGGTTGGGTGTGTCGTGTGCAGACAGGGATTTAAAGTAGAGCACACGCTTTATCCTGGCTCTCTGCTCGTGCTGTGTGTACAATCTGCTTTGTCAGCTTCAGTGGGTGACGGCTAAAGGAGTTTGGATGACGTCTTTCTTTGTTTCTTTGGAGAACAGGAGCCCATATGGCATCTGTTTATGAAAGGGAAGATGATTGGGATGGGCAGATGTGGGTGAGTTTGTTTTTAATGTTTTCCTGTGTTTGGTGACATCATACCTCTAAGAGAAACGGGTTGCATTTATTTCCATTTTATCGTCTTTAAATCTTACTGACTGTGTGAGTTCTGGTTCACATTTATATTTAGATATAAAAACACAAATATGCTAATACTTTACTCTTCATGTTATGATAAAAAGGTCGATGACTGGTCATCTAAAATGATTCTTTTTAAACTGGCAGTAAGATTTTAAGGTGTGTATGTTGCTGCATGACCAGGTTATTTGTCTTTATCACCTTCTACAAGCAAAGCGGAGGCACAACAGCTTTTATTATTATTTTTCAAGATACATTTGTACTGCTGTTTTTAGGAGGGGAAAATGGAGTAAAACCCATAAAACAGAAACTGAAAGAATTACTAGGAAAATAAATAAAATTGGAAATACTGGCATTGGGTTTAGTCAACAACATTAATATGCAAGGTGACCAGTTTAAACACAAATTATACAGTTTAATTTGGGTTGTTTTTAAGAGATAATACAATAAATTTACTTCAGGAACAATTTTCCACTGACTAATCATTATTAGCAAGTGGAACTGTCAGAGCATGAGAAGATGCAGCCATTCATTGAATTGTATTTGTTGTCACTGCAGGAAACTTTTTAAATTAAAAGCAAAGATTTGTGGTTCACCCGTTAAAAAGCACAGAACCCTTTTTTATTGCCATGAACCAGGATTCATTAAATACACCATAATATGTTTTTATTTATTTATTGGAGTTAGTAGGGTTTGAGGCCATAAAATAAAAGCTAATTTAGTGGTGTGGCTATACCTCAGTTTGACAGCTAATGAGCTTTTAGTTCTTACAGATTGCACATTATCTTTGATGCAAATTTTGTCTTTAACTGTTTAAAGTCAACTTAAGTCTGTTGACAAAAAAAAAAAAAAAAAATCTCATGAATCACTATAAGGTTTTTATTGAAACTTCTGAAACTGATTAACTTTTGGAGCCAACCCTACTCAAGATGGCCGCCGCAGGATTGACTTTAAGATACACAAATATGAATATAGTTTAGTCAGTTTTACAGATATTGTTCTAGACCTTGGTGTGGTTGTAGCTGAGAGTCATTCACAACACGCTCCAACTGCTGCCTGTTGCACAGGATATTTGCTTGTTGTTAGCAGAATGTCTTATGAACCACTAAACAGATTTTAATGAAACCTTTAGGAAGTAAGAACTTGATCTGCCTTTTATAACTCATTACAATTTTGAGTTATGAAATTCAAGTTGGCCACTACAGCCATGTCACTTTTAGAAAAGCACAACTCAGTCAGTTATACAGATATTGTGCTAAAATTTGATTTGACCAAAGCAGATTAATTTACAACAACTACTCTGAGGGTAATATTCTTGAAGTTTTGCATAATATTGCAGATATAATCATTATTTAGATTTGACTGAAACAGTTACAACTTCTAACAAGACTATCTCAGTCTAAAACTCTGACATCAAAGTCTATGGGTGAAATGCACTCCTTTAAAGAATGCTAGGCCCTAGATTCAAAATATATTCCCCCTATAAATTCTAGAATTGTTTTAGTTTCATGTGAAAGTTTATACAAATGTAAAATAGTTTCTTTCACATGTTTAAACTCCAGGTTTTTGAGTAAAGCTGTATTTCAACATCAGTGTTGCTCTGCTGTCCCCTGGTGGTCATGTATAGGTACTTCAGGCCCAGCTCGACACCTTGCTGCAGGGTCAGGAGGGCATCACCAGCAGCTGTAACTTCACAGAGCAGGCCCTGAGCCATGGCACCGAGGCAGAGGTGCTACTGGTCAAGAAGCAGATGGGTGAACGTCTCATTGAGTTGGCCAATCAAGAGCTTCCTCTGCAGCCTGGAGAGAACGAACAACTGGACTTCCTCGTGGAGACGGATGGCTTAAAGAAGTCTATCCACAACTTGGGTGCTATTGTAACCACAAATGCCGTGGCGTCTGAGTCAGTAGCCACGGGGGAGGGGTTACGCCACTGCGTGGTGGGTGTGCCCACGTCTGTCACCATAACCACTAAAGACAAAGATGGGGAGCTGTGCAAAATGGGTAATGCCGTTATCACTGCTCAAATCTCCTCATCCGATGGCAGCAGAGGAGACGGAGAGATTCTGGACAACAAGAACGGCACCTATGAGTACCTGTACTCACTTCCTAAAGAGGGCACTTTCACCTTATCACTACGTCTATATAACCAACACATCAAAGGAAGTCCTTTTAAAATAAAGGCCACCAAATCCACGGATGTTTCGCCGACTTCAGACGGCACAAAGAAGAGGCTGAAGTCCCCGGGCAGCGGACACATCAAGCAGAAAGCCTTCAAGAGGCCAGCAAGCATGTACAGCACAGGGAGACGGAAAGAGAACCCCATTGAAGACGATCTCATCTTCAGAGTGGGTGAGGACAACTTTTAAAGAATATATTAGCAGGATGTACTTCAAGAATCAAGCATCTGTTTTAAAAGTCTGTGAAAGCAGGTATCAGTCACTGATAAATTCCAAGATGGAGATGTCATCCTCAAAGTACTTAATAATACAGTAGTTCCTCGCTTATCGTGGGGTTAACATTCCAGACATCCCCATGATAGGTGAAAATCTGTGAAGTACAGATGTTATATTTATTTATTTTAAGGCTTTATAAACCATTCCCACACTCTTGTAATGTTCTTAACAATGTTCTAAACTCTCTAAAATGAGCACAACGAATGAGAGCAGACAAACGGTTACTGAGCCAAACTGACCATCGGGAGCACCGGGACATTGCCCGGTGGCCTGGCCTGCTCAGTAATCGCCAGGGGCTGGACCAAAGGCTCGGTTTGGGTCGTGCTTGATTATTTTAAATAAACAATCCATGCTGCTCATTCAGGTGTCTGCCTCAGTGAAGCTCCCACAGTAGCAATAGGGAAAGACAGACCCCACCCCCTGCCCCCTCCTTTCTCTTTCTGAGGCTGTCTGCTCTGCTGTGAGAGACAGCCTCAGAAAGAGAAAGGAGGGGTCAGGGGGTGGGGTCTGTATTTCCCCATCGCTACTGCTCAGGGAGTGGGCCAGGCCACCGGGAAATGTCCCAGTGATGGCCAGTCCGTCACTGAGCCCAATGTTCTGGTTGGTTGCCTTCCATCGATCAGCCAATCGTGTGTTGTGTACAATCTTACGTTGAAAACCCGCGAAAGAGTGAGTCAGTGAAAGTCGAACCACGAAGTATCGAGGGCCTACTGTCAATAAATTATTTATCAGTACTAATAATTTAAACTATGTTCATATGTTGTGGCACGTTTATGTACATTTTTATTTTATGTCAACATTAGATGTGATTCACCAAGATTAAAAAAAAGTCAATGGACAAGTGTGTAACTGACTGTAGGTCAACACATCAGCACTATGTTGTTGCAAAATCATTTACCGATGCAGACTGTCCCTGCATTACATGCCATCACCTTATTATGAGATAATCAGTGCTGTGTAATGCATTAAACCAAAGATTATTTTACCTTTAACTCTCAACCCCAGTAAAACCAGGTAAAGATGTTATTGTTCCAGAGGAGTTATTTGATTTGCACTAATCAGATCAAACAACAGCAAAAAAAAAAAAAAAAGAACAATACATTTCAGTAAATGCCACACAAATTATATACCAGTTAAACACAGTGTCCGGTGTGACTAACTGGTAAACAGAAGTCGTGATAAATGCAGAATATGGTATGATAAGAGCAACACTATACAGAAACCTTAATTTGTACCTATTGGTGCTGCATTTAGAGAAACTAAACATGAACGAAGCAGCTGGAATTCAGGGTGTGAGAGAGAAAAAGAATCAACCAACGCTCTGAGGCTTTCAAATGAGCTTCTTCATCAACTACTGCTGAGAGCAAAGAGCAGTAATGTATTTATCTGTGTTCTGTGTGTGTTTATTTGTTGTGTTAGCATAACACCCTATAAATGGACTTTAATGAAACATTCACAGGAATCATTGGATGCTCATCCACAACTGAATAACTTTTGGAGTCAAAATCTCATTCAAGATGGCCACCACAGCCAACCAACCTTTGCAAACAAAAATGGTATTAACTCAATTTTAAACTGATCTTGGGCTAAAATTTGAGACTTAGTTTCAACACATTTTGCACTATCTCTCCATATTGCATGGGATAATGCAGATTATTAAAAGGTTTGATCAAAACGAGCCGTAGCTCTGTCCCTTCTCATCAAAAAGTAAATTTAGTAGTAATAGTTTAAAAGTCTGGCATGAAAATCAGCAAACAGTATGCATTCCTTCAAGGAAATCTTTGGCTTTATTTTTAGACAAGTACCAGTATTTATTGGTGTCCTGTCTGTTAACAAGAATTTACATAATCGACCAAATTCAATTAAATGTGGTGGTAAGAACAAAAAAAAAGAATATACTGTATATTGCACATTAGGATATTTTTTCTTAAAACTGCAACACTTTAGCCCTGACATACCTTTTATGTTTTCTTGTCTGTTCTGTATAATTGTGCAACCAGCTTGATGAAATCCCTGCAGAGCCTTGCTAAGTTCGACTTGCATCCCTCAGTCATAGCACATCATGTCTTTGCTTCATGTCTTAAAGGTACGAAAGGAAGAAACAAAGGAGAGTTCACAAATCTGCAGGGAGTGGCTGCCTCCCCCCTGGGGAAGGTGCTGATAGCAGACAGCAACAACCAGTGTGTTCAGGTAAAAGCTACCACGCTAAGAGATGATTTTTAGCTAACAGAGAACTGATTTCTGCTTTATGGAGTGCAAAAACCCACTTTCCAAAACCTTCAGCCTCATGTATGAACTCAGGCACCAAATGTTGTGCGTGCCAGGTGCACGTCAGGATGTATCAAAATGAACGTTGCGTGACCTGTGGTGAGAATGTGTGTACCTCCACGCAAACTTCAACTTCACGTCAACCACAGCTTCACTCACTCCTCTTTGTGCACGAGTGGCAAACACGTCTTTTTTTGCTTTTTTCACATTTTGTCCCTACGTCAACTTTCGGTATGAAAGCTATGCACTGTTTCATACACGTGAACCCTGAACTGTCCCTTTAAAACTTTAAACTAAATGTACTATTGTATTTGTAAGACTCATTACCTTTTAATTTTTTTAATATCTTTTCTGCATGGTGTGGTGGATTTTCTTGTTCTAAATCTGGTCTGAATGACTATCGGCCAGTGGTCACTAAATGCTTTCAAAGACTGGTCATGACCCACATCAAAACAACCATCGACATCAACGAGGACCCTCACCAGTACGCATACCGCAAGAATCGATCAACAAAAGATGCCATCTCCTCTGTGGTCCACACTGCTCTCATCCACCTGGAGCAGAAAGACTCTCCTTGTGGACTTCATGTCTGCCTTCAACACCATGATCCCCCAAACCCTGATGGACAAACTAGAACTAAGCCCCTCCATTTGCAACTGGGTCGTAGACTTCTTAACAAACAGACCACAAACAGTGAGGATCCACAACTTCTCCTTCTCCACCATAACCCTCAGCACTGGCTCCCCTCAAGGATGTGTGTTGAGCCCCCTCCTGTTTACTTTGCTCACATATGACTGTGCACCTACCCATCCAAGTTGTTATATTGTAAAGTTTGCAGACAATACAGTGGTTGTTGGTTGTGTCACAAATGATGATGAGTCCAGCTACAGGCAGGAGATGAAACACCTGGAGAGCTGGTGCAGGAAGAACAACCTTCACATCAATGTGAAGAAGACAAAGGCGATGGTTGTGGATTTCAGAAGGAGCAAACACACCCACCCTGCCCCCCCTGAACATAGGAGGATCTGCAGTGGAAGTGGTCTCCAACTAGAAGTACTTAGGTGTGCACCTGAATGACAACCTCAGCTGGAGCAACAACACCACCACTCTGATCAAGAAAGCTCATCAGAGACTCTACTTCCTCAGACGGCTGAGACGAGCTGGTCTGGGAAGCTCAGTCCTCACCTCCTTCTACAGGTGTGCAGTGGAGAGCATCCTGTGCTCCAGCATCAACGTGTGGCATGGATGCTGCACAGCTGCAGAAAGAAAAGCTTTGCAGAGTGGTGAAGGCTGCACAGAAGACTGTTGGAGTCAGCCTCCCCACCATCACAGACATCTACACCTCCAGATGCAGGAAGAGGGCCACCTGCATCATGAAGGACCCCACTCACCCAGCACACACACTTTTTGCCCTGCTCTCCTCAGGCAGGAGGTTGAGGAGCATTAAGTGTAGAACCACTAGACTGAGGAACAGCTTCTACCCTGAGGCTGTTAGACTCATGAACATCTAACCAGGAAAATCACTGTGAGGAGAAAAATATCACTGTAATGTTACTTTAATTGAAATGTGTCTTATCTGTGCTGCTGATTATCCATGCTGCTGATCTCATGCTGCTGATTATCTTATGCTGCTGTATTCATTCATACCCATCTGCTCACCACAGACTCATGTTCGGGCTGCTGTTGTTACACCGTATTGTTTTACATTATTAGCGCTTGGAGTATATCTTAGATCTCTTAGCGTACCATTTGGTGTTTGTTTTAGCGTTTATCGTAGTGTACATATTAGATCCTGATTTACTGTTTGTACGTTGCTGTTTTTGTGTGTAACTGGGGCCCTGTGTACATAATTTTGTTCCATCTCATGTACCACACGAGATGATAATGACAATAAAGTTTACTTGAACTTGTTTGTCTCAGTACAGAAGCAGGTGAAATAAAAGATGGCGTCAAAAATGGTCTTTGAATAAATTTGTTATAACAAACACACACATCACACAGGATGCTTCACACAGCCTGCGGAGGATGTGTGTGTGATAAAACGTCCAATCCAGCTTTATAAATCTCACTGGTGTGATAAGAAAAGCATGAAAATGTGTCAGAAAGGCATTGTGCTCTGTGATCTTCGATAACTGGGCTGACTGTTTATGTAGTCCTGTTCCATGTAGATTAAACCAGTTTGACAAGATATCAGTCCTGAGATGTGTTTGTTCCATTTTGATAAACAGGAGATGTATGACTCATCATTATTTCTAAACACCCTGAGCACAGTGTGAAGGTAAAGTGTCATGTTCAAGTAAAAATACACAGTTCTCTGTGACGGCGTTATGTTTTACACTCTGCAGATATTTTCTAACGACGGTCAGTGCAGGAGTCGTTTTGGGGTCCGGGGCAGGTCTCCTGGTCAGATGCAACGACCAACAGGCGTCGCAGTTCACCCCAACGGTGATATCATCATCGCCGACTACGACAACAAGTGGATAAGCATCTTTTCAAGTGAAGGAAAGTTCAAGGTAAATTCAAGCTTTGTTTGTGTGTGTTCTAATATCTGTCATATCAGAACATGTTCGTCCTCTCGTGTTCTGTTGGATCGAAGTAAAACTGCTGCGTAACAAAAATGTAAAATCTTTAATCTTCTGCAGAACAAGATCGGTTTGGGAAAGCTGTTGGGTCCTAAAGGCGTGGCCGTGGACAGAAACGGACACGTCATAGTCGTTGACAACAAGGCTTGCCGCGTCTTCATCTTTCAGGCCAATGGCAAGCTGGTCACCAAGTTTGGTAGCCGTGGCAACAGTGACACGCAGTTTGCAGGTACGCACAACAGTAATACTGAACAGACGAGATGTATTAGAACACAGGATTCCCTGAACACTGGGTTTTAACTGGTTTGACATAAGATAATTAATAAATTTACTTGGGTGTTAATTGTTTTTTCTTTGTTCCATACAAGAGCTAATCGATTAGAAATGTCTGAAAACTTTTTGTGTCCCTTTGGTCCAGGTCCTCACTTTGCTGCTGTCAACAGTAACAATGAAATCATTATAACGGATTTCCACAACCACTCAGTCAAGGTGAGTGATCGTGTTTATTACAGGTACAGTGTGCAACATGTATCCTTTCTACAAACACAAAGCCTGATGTTCCAGTGTGTAACATATTAGAGAATCTGTTGGGAAAGTTCAAATGTAAATGTGTTTTTATTTGCTGTAAACTCACATTGAAATTGGATTACTGAGTTATTGATATTTAGATCAAGCCATTCAAATAAAAGGTTGTATTGCTGTTTTGGTTCATGACATTAAACTCCATCTCTAGACGGGACATTTACATTTTCAGCACCTGACGTTGTTTCTCATGCATATTCAAGTAAAAATTGTGTTGTCCTAGTAAGCTGCAACTTCACCTCAAAATGTCACTACTAGGGATGCACAATATGGTATCGGTATCGGGCAATATTAGCGATAAATTAAAATATCGGACATTGGCCGTTCCATCAAAATAACAATGTCGGAGGTGTGGAAATCTTTTTTTTTTTTAAGTGTCAGAAACTGATAGCAGAACTATTTGCAATGACTGCTCAGCGTCAGTGATGCGAGGAGGAGCGAAAACGAAGCCCTACAACACTTTGAACCTAATTAACCATCTCTAGAACCAGCATTCTGACCATTACCATGAGTTCATGGTGGCCAGAAAGGAAAGCGAGAGAGGAGTCAACCACGGAGAAACAAAACCTCCATCCATCCAAAGACCATGCAGAATATTGTAATATTATAATTCCACAGTAGAGAAACTATGTAGTCTCTGTAGTCTAGGAAAACAAAATATTGGTATTGGTATTGGTTATCGGCCAAATAAGTTTTAATATATTGGCATATCGGCCAAAAAAAAAAAATTGTGCATCCCTAGTCACTACTGTTGTCTTCACTTGCTCTACTGTTTGTATTTGTAATTATTTATATCCTTTACAAGTGTTTTTCTTTGGCTTTCTTCCAATGGAAAGTACACCTGTCTGTTCTCCTTCCTGTCCAGCTGGTCGAAGCAGATGTTCACTCACCCTGAGCCTGGTTCTGCTGGAGCTTTCTTCCTGTTAAAATTGAGTTTTTCCTTTCCACTGTTGCCATTGTGCTTGCTCAGGATGGGAGATAGTGATGAAGTGATTCATCACAATCTGCTGCTTCCTTAAATAGATAACTTTATTAATTGGCTTTTTTAATGTATGTGAATGTTTTTGTACAGTGCACTGAGACGACTTCTGCTGTGACTTGGCATTATAGAAATAAAGTGAATAAAAATTGGATGATTGTTTCTTCTGTTTCACGTATTAAAAACAACATGTAGGTGTTCAACACAGAAGGAGAATTCTTGCTGAAGTTTGGTTCAAACGGTGAAGGAAATGGTCAGTTCAACGCCCCCACAGGGGTAGCAGTGGATGCTAATGGGAACATCGTTGTAGCAGACTGGGGCAACAGCAGGATACAGGTTGGTAAAGGATTCATTATGTCTTACTTCAGCTCTTTAAACCACAGGTTCTCAAACTGGGGTCCCAGACCCCCAGAGGTCCGTGAGTTGAAGCTTGTGGGTTCGCAAAATAAAATACAATAAATTATTAATTATCCATCCATCCATCCATTTTCTTTACCCGTTTATTCCATTTTTGGGTCACGGGGGTCGCTGGTGCCCATGTCCAGCAATCACTGTGTGAGGGGCGGGGTACACCCTGGACAGGTCGCAAGTCCATCACAGGGACACATAGAGACACACGAGACAAACAACCATTCACTCTCTCACTCACACCTAGGGACAATTTGAGTTACCAATCAGCCTAACATGCATGTTTTTGGTCTGTGGGAGGAAACAGGAACACCCGGAGAAAACCCACGCATGCACGGAGAGAACATACAAACTCCACCCAGAGGGCCCCTGGACCGGGGTTTGAACCATTATTAATTATATCATACAATTTTTAAAAATTATGGGGGCCATTGTGTGAGTAAAACAAATGTATAGAAGCAACAACACAAAAAGATATTCCCATGGCATTTAGATCTTAAAATGTCAAATTATTTTTCATAAGCATGAGGTTTTTGAGGGGGTCCCTGGGACATTTTTCTCCCTTATAAGCAGTCGCTCGACCCTAAAGGTTTGAGAACCCCTGCTTTAAAGGACCTCCGTTTGGAGAAACAAAGTCTAATCCTAACTGCTTGAGGAGCTAAAAACAAGTCTAGATTGAGCAACACCTAAAGTGGATTCATGCCATTTTAAAACAACTTGAATCTAAAAAAAACATTTAATCTTAATATAAACGCTATGTTGTAAACCTTTACACCAGGGCTATTCAACTGGCGGCCCGGGGACAAAATCAGGCCCTCGGGTGAACACCGTTCGACCCACCTGTGGGTTCATTTTTAAATAAAACTAGATTTTAAACCATAAAACAAACTTACTTCATGACAATAACTGCTGGATGTCCGGCCCCTGAGCTCTTGGCTTTCAGTGACTGTGGCCCCATGAGCAATTTAGTTGAATAGCCCTGCTTTACATCGTATTACATGATTATTCAGGTTGAAATTTATGATGTTCCTGCTGAAAGCACCTCAGGCTACACTGGAAGTGTTATATTCTATGTAAATAGCTGTAATGTGAACTTGATGGCACTGTAAAGGCCCAAAGAATGGTGTTCTCATGGACTGCCATGATGCTTCTGAGATGAGTTTTAGGGTGGCAGCAACCCACTTTGGTCATGGTCCCACTCAGACTATTTAACTAAAGTCCTTGAAATAGCTATCTACAACAGGTAAGATATTTCTATGTCTAACTTTCCACAAAACAACACTTTTTAAAAACTATAATTTTTACAATTTGACTTCCAAATCAAGCATTGTGCGTTCAATATTGCATCATCATGCTATCTAATGTATTTATGCCAATGCTCTGCAAATAATATTCATGTTGCATCATCATTTAGTATTGCTGAAAAAGCATCTAAACTTGCAGCCCTCTCCATCTCATGTCATGTGATCACGATTTTAATTAACTAATTTAAAATATGACTATTTCTAGCAAGCCTTTTTGCTATGAATTTGTGTTATTTTTCTTAAACTATTCTGTTTTTCGGCATATTTGATTTTCCAGTAGATGGTAGATGAACGCTGGGAGCCAGGAGTGCACATTTTCATGAACTTCTGTCTCTCTCAGGTGTTTGATGGCAGCGGCTCCTTCCTTTCATACATCAACACCTCAGCAGACCCGCTCTACGGCCCGCAGGGACTGGCGCTCACCTCAGATGGACATGTCGTGGTTGCTGATTCGGGCAACCACTGCTTCAAAGTCTACCGATATCTGCAATAGCCCAATCTTTACTCCTGTGTATATGTATGGATATACTGTCACCCTGTACAGTTGAGACGGACTGGAAGATTTTGCACTCATCCTTTTCAGCTACATTTTTCTTGTCGTTGTGCCATCTGTGTGACTTCTCCTCATATTTGACCCCCGTGCTGAAAAACCAGGGTGCATTTTTATGGGAATGAAACTGGATTTTTGACATTCACAGAAGCCTGCTGCTGGTTTTGGTTGGTGCTTTAAAGAGTCTCTCATCACCTTATTCATGTTCCATCTAAAGTGTGCCGATTTGTGGAAAACGATAACGCTTTAATAGTGTAGATACACAGCACCAAGCCAGCAATTAATGCGGATGATTTTGATTTTAATTGCATAATTTTAAAATAATATAACTTTTTTTTTTTTTTTTACAAAAAGAGCTTATTGGAATTGTCATTGCAGCTTCCAGTTAAAATGCCCTTAAGTCCTCACAATTTGCCTGTTTGCTATAAAAACATCTGCTGCACTAGAATGATTAGACGTGCATGCTGGTTTTACAAACATCTCGATGAGCAATAATAAAAAAAATATGTATCCCCGTTCAGTAAATTTGAGAGGGATGATTAAAATTATAGCACACATATTCAAAGTAGAAAATGAGTAAATATTTGCTTGTTATCATAAACAGCATGCTAATTATTTAATTGGTTTTATGAATATTTGTGTGCCTTGTCGCTTAAAACACTAAACGTACGCCACAAGACACTGGTTTCTGCTGTGTTCACATTGTGCACGTGTGTTGAAGGTCTGTGCGAAGCATGGTGACGTTTTATTTCACAATCTGTGATAAATGTGCAAACACCAGCTAAAAATAAACTTGTCAATGTTTGTCCATAAAAAAAAAAACAGTTAATCAGGCTGAAAATTGGTTAAATTTACCACCAGAAGCAGAGCTGAGAGCTGTGATCCCTCATCCTGTTGTGCTTTGTTCAATAGTTTTAAAGCTTCTACTGTCTGCTTTGACACAAAGGAAATGCACTGCATAGACAAAAACACCTGAAATATACAGTTTATTATAAATAACCCACCTAACGTATGTTGAAACAGCCTTATTCCTACACTGTTAAGCACACAATGGTCTACTGTCGTCCTGAATTTGGTCTTTCAATTTCTACACAATCTGTAAAGTTATTTTGTCTCGTTCATATTTGTAATGCCAAACGGAATTAAAGTGCCGAAGGAAGTGAACTGTGTCTGACTTAATTTACAGGAGATGTGGTAAACTTGTAAAATTAGTTCAAAATTTCAAATGCAAAGCTATAAATGGAAAGGATTATAGTGTACATAAGTGGGGCTGTTTGAAAAAGTAGTTTGACTATTGGACGGAAGAGGGCGTAAGCGGCATGGTGCCTTCATGGGCAGTCAGAACAGTAAAAGCGTGCGTGGCAATATTAAAGATTATAGTGCAAATTCAGCTTCTTAATATAAACAAACATAATTCAAATTCTATATTGTATTATATTATTTTTTACGTTTTCAACTGTGCTTAATAATTCAATTGGTTTACCTTGTTAGAGATTTTTTTTCCCGAAGTTTAGGAATTTACGAGGTTATATGAAGGCAGCAGTGAATTGCGACGTTCTTCCGCGGGAAATTCAGGATAAAAAAAACAAACGACTGTTTTGTTTGGCTCGCAACCTTATTAACGTTGCTATCTTACGTTAAGTTGCTTAAATCGTTATTGTTACTGGGTGTTATTTGAACTGTCAACATCACAAAATGGTAAGCAAATGTCCACTTTAACTTGAAGTCGGTAGTCTCGTGAGAATCAGCTACGCGGGTAGCTAGTACGTGCTATCATTCTTAATTTAGTTTTTAGGTAAATGAAGAACATTACATTAGCCTAAAGATGCCAAGCAAAGGGTTTCACTCTTTACACTTTGCTAAGTGCCATAAACATAACATTTCTTGGGTGAAACCAGTTGTAATCGAGACAGTACAGTGAGATTGAGGTCTGGTGTTGTGTTGAAAAAAGTACCCTCCCCGTTTAAAGTCGCCCCCCTTAAACAGCAAAGTTGAAGTATACTAAAATCCCTTAAAGTGCGTATAAGTCGGAGGGGGAGGCGTATTTGTGTTTTAAAAACATTTTAGGGATGGATTTTTTTTCTACCTTTTTATTAAAGTGCCTTAAAATGCGCTTTGTGATGTAGGGCGCTAACGGCAGGAAGGTACTTATTTTCGGCACAACACCGGATATTTGTATAAATTGTTTGTTTTACGTGTTCAGAACTTATTAAAATAGCTAACGGGTCGTTAATATAATTTATCGTTAAGATGACTGATTTATTACTATACTAGTTTTTGTTTAGGATTAAAATTTTTATTCTTGTCAGGCGAAAGCTTTGCAGCCAAGTTTTCTTCTTCGTGAGTTTTTACTGCAGCCTGTATGTGATGACTCTGCCTTACTGCCCTCTGCTGGACTCGATTTCTTTTGGCCAGATTTAATAAATTGTACAAAGCAATCTGAAAGACACATTGCTGTGATCAGCAAGTGGTAATTAAATAAATAGGTTGAGTAAAAATCAAGAATTCTAATAGACAAAAAAAAAAACACTAAAGATGAAGTGGACCAAGCCTTCTGACTAAATAAGAATGCAATGCACTTTATTTTTAAGTTAAAATGAAAGTCTTTCAATTCCAGCAAAATGCTACTAATCCTAAATCACTTGTTGTTTTTATAGTTTGCGTCAGCGTTTTCCATTAAAATGTATCTTTTTTCCCCCCCCCTAGCTTTCCTCGATTTAATTTGTATTTGGTAACTCTGTTAACAGGTGTTTTACCTCCACTTGTGTGTGTGTGAATTGACAGAAAAAAAACACTTATAGTTTTGAACATTATCTCGTATAGATTTGTTTTCTTTGCTATAAATCTCTGTTACTCTCTGTGACTTGATTAGTGTTTCAGGGTTTGATCGGTGGAAAAGCAGTCAATTTAATCAATCAGGCTTCATACTTGTTTTGATTATTTACATTTTAAAATCCTATTGTGACTTTGACTTTTCATTACAGTCAAAGAAGAAAGGACTCAGTCTAGAGGAGAAAAGAAGTCGAATGATGGAGATTTTCTTTGAATCTGTAAGTTTTACTGATACTAGTGATAGCCTTCATGTCTTCTTGCTGTACTGATTATTCTGTTACATGAATAACTTAAAAAAACACTGGTCAGTATTTGGAAGACTAAAATTAACCTGCAAGCTATTATAGCACCTGGGCTGAAAATAAATGGACATGGAAACAATCCTGTTTTCTAATATTACAAAGATTTAAAATGAATATACAAGAAGTTTTATATTATGTATTTAATTTGGGTGATTATTTTTATGATGCACACAAACAGCATATAGACTTCATTTTTACTTGGAAAAATAAGCGCTAAAGTGACAAATATTCTTAAGAATAATGTGTAAATATATAGATTTTAATAAAGTCTCTCTGTGTTCCTTCCTTTATGTGTTGTTTAAGATGTCATCAAATGTGTTGCTGGTTTTTGATGCATCTTTTTTATTTATTCTAAACTTTCATTTGCATTTAAAAGTTGCTCTCATGTGCATATTTTAAGGCGTTTTCTGATATATTTCAGTTTGCGTTCATTTAATGTTACAACAGTTTCCTTAAGACGGATCTTGAAATGTCTTTTCTTACAAAACATGTTAAAAAAAATGGAATGAGTTGAATAAAGTTCGACTTATCTGTTTTGTTTCGCTTAATGCGCCTTATAGTCCAAAAAAATACGGTAATTATACAGACTGTAAAATGTGTAAACTCTTTTTTTAAATATTTATAGATGCTCAGAAATACGGTGGGAAAACTTATGTAAAATTGTCATTTTAAGTACAAAATAATGCATTTGGGCCGATGGCTTCCTAAAAACAAATAAAGGCTGCAAAATGCACCATAATCTGATACAAATGGATCATAAATTTTTTTTAAGAATAAAAAAATTAACTTTTCTCAAACATTGTATTTCACTCTTTTTAGAAAGATGTGTTTCAGCTGAAAGACATCGAGAAGATTGCTCCCAAGGCAAAAGGCATAAGTGAGTCATTACTTCACACCCCCCCCCCCCCACTCACCCAGTATACTTTATTAAATATCATATTAATAATAACTTGTAAAATGCAAACGCAACATTTGAGGTAGAACCTGCATGAGTTTTATTTTCAGACTTCTTTATTCGGATAATTGAACAGATGGCATGATGTTCTTGCAGAGTTGCAAAATGAGCCGTATTTAGTTTGTAAAGCAGAAGTCGACCAATCAGCAGCAGTGGTTTCATAATGTGGAGATCTGTCGAAAGCGTTTGACCCTCAAGTTTAACTTGTTTCCTCCTCAGCAGCTGGACATCGTGAGTATTTAGAGGAAAATATAGACATAATATAAATGGGTAATATAGATAAATATGTACCGTGTTTTCTGGCCTATAAGTCACAGTTTTTGGCATAAAGTAGCGTGCTTGCGACTTATACAGTGAAGCGACGTATTTATGATTTTTCCCCATATTTATAACCCAATTTTTTTGGTTGAGATCTGACGATTTTATTCATTTTGACATGGAAAATATTGAACACTACCATTTTCAACCACTACAGGGCCCTCGACTAATATGGCAAGCCATGCGTTTTTTTATATAT